TTTGCTTCCATTGTGTTTTTCTTGAAAAAGAAACCGGAAAAAATAACTAGATGAATCTGGGACAAAACAGCTTAATAGCTTTACCCCTCGATTGTTTATATCAAAGTTACATTGAGACATAAACAGTTTAAACTTTGAATCTAAGAAACACCAACTGATTGCTGAAAATGCAAAGTTGTGCATTTGACAAAAAGATTCTCGATACATGAACGTACCATTTCATGAATTAAGGGGTCCTAATGGTTAGTGCATGTGGTCCTCTCTCTTCACACCAACTAATGGCTAATCCTTAAAATGTAATATTACCTTATTGAACCCCCCCCCCCCCCCCCCCTTTTTTTTGGGCTTAATTAGAGCGAAATGTTAATTTCAAACTGTCATTCAATGCTAACTACTATAAGTGACAAATAGTAATATCATCTGATGACCAGTTGCAAACCAATAAAATGAAGTTGATGCCCTCGAAGTACAAGTGTTTATTGTTTATATGTTACAGGTGAAGAAGTTGATGCCCTCGAAGTCATGGGAACATATGGAGATTTCATTGGAGCCTTTTTAATTTCGAGCTTCTTATAGTTTCTCTGATGAAGTTATCATTGAGCAAAATCCAATTTGCTCCTATTGGATTAGCCGACATGCTTAATACCATCGATGCCATGCATTCAATCACTGGAGTAGGATGACAAGACAAGTTCGGTTCGAATTGGAGTGAGGGGAAACAGAGAGAAGAGGTTGTTTGCATAAAAAAAAAACCAAAGGTTTGTTTGATTGATGGTGAAGAGGTGCCATTTACATTCGAGGAACACATGGTTGTGGTTCAAGTTCCATGGCCTACTTCTATGTTATCTATAATTGATTAACAATTTTAGAATTTGGGATGGGGACCGGATCCACAAAAATGGATGTTTGTTTGAAAGCCACAAAAAATGTATTTATGTTTTATTTTTATTGAACTAAATTTATATAAATATGAATAGTAGTAAAGTGTGCTCTGTTATTTGTTGTTTGTCTTGTGCACTGAACAGTAGCTTATATTCATTTTTCACAAAACGACCAACTATGATATCGAGAAAACTTGGTAGCCAATGTAAATGAACAACTACTAGTATGATAAGCGTGAAAACCTTTCTTCATCTTCTGGGGTTACCTATTCAACAGTGAAATTGGTGAATCATTAAGTTGAAGGTGGGAACTCAGTAAAATAGTGAAATTGCCACCGGTAGTCTCCTGGTAGAAGAAGAGGAAGGAGGAAGATATTAAGGAAGAGGAATGCTTACTGCCAATTGACTATACATCATTAGAGCATGGTGAAATTGCCGTTAGTGGTCTCTTGCTCTTGGGCTAGGGTTCAAGTGAAAATGAAAAAGGGGAATTCGAACGAATGAGAGGCAAAAACACTTGTTTCATCTGATTTTATCTTTTTCTAACTAGTTGAACTGGATTAATTGACTCGCTTAACAGGAGTGTGAACCAAACGTAACTTTAACCAACGGGTTCATTGGATTCGCCTTCATTCTTTTGGGATCATAAGCAATGATCATTTACCAAGTGGACATTAATTAATGCACACAAGGTTGACATGCATGCAGTACTATTACACATTATGATGCTTATTAATTGTATTGCCACATATTATTACGTGAGCTATTGTGACTTGTCTAAGTGAAATGTCGAGGTCTATTCACCTGTCTTATATTTTAGTACCACTCAAACCGGTTCTTTTAAATTGTACGAGGAGCTTAGGTACATGAACTTTGAATTAATTTTAGAAAGTAAAAAAAAAAGGAGAAAAATAGAAAATAAAAGTTCAATTTTCTGTTTTCTAAAGATTGAGCGTCTGTTTGGCATTGATGCCATTGCTCCAAAAAATGGTGAAACATCAACAATACGTCGGAAAAAATGGTGTTCCAGGAAATGTCTGTTTGTTTGGAATAAATTTTCATAAAAAATAGTGCTCCAAGCCATGCCTTAGAAATTATGAAGGCGTGATTTTGAGCAACGCCGAATTTGACATTTTCTCATATTGAAGCTCGTTGCTGTTAACGAGGTCGTGATGTGGCAGTGATATGAGCTTCCTATAATGAGTGCCAATGCTGAAAACAGATATAAAGCACCAGTACCAAAAAAAAATTGTTGATGTTGCTCTAAAAAACATTATACCTGACAACAATGTTTCCAAACAAAAAAAAAAGACATCATTTTTTTAGAAAACGGTGCTTCCAACCAACACATCAACAACACCACTTTCTGCTGTATCTGCAGCATTGATGCCAAACATATACCAAATGCAAAGATAATGTTATTTTAATTTAAGATATAAAATTTTGGTTTTGAAGAAAGCACAATTTATAATGTATGAAATAGCATTTTTAACGTTGTTAAAGTCTTAATAGTAAGCATATAGACCTTATAACTTAAACATAAATCAATAAAAAGTAAATAAATAATGTTTTTAATGTAAATGGTTGGAATCTTGATTCAACATACAAAAATACTTGTAAAATGCACCATATATAGTTGCACTTCACCAAAGAATGACAACATTATAATGTAGAGTTTTTAATGTTCTTTTTCATTTTAATATTTTTCAAGAGACTACGGCCATCCCCCCAATCTCATTTCATGTATGTAGCTATAAGGAGTTTCTGAGTGCTGCTGACCACTGTCAACCTCTCAAAGAATATCAAAGAGGTCGGCAGGATACATTCAGTTGGTGATCATAAATGGTTGATGCCTTGGTTAGCTAGCATTTCACCAATTTTTGTAAAATTACCAAACCCTAAGACACAACATGCCCTGAAGTACACAAGCTTCTTCATTATAACAAACCAAACAGTACTTACGTAACAATCCCGACTTATATACAACAACCCCAACTGTCAACATATTAACCTAAATGTGTGTGTATGGCGTTGGCGGTTCAATTGTGGGGCCCGTATGTCAGAAAGGGCTCGCTCAGTCAACCCTATATTTTGTTTCTGATGGCAAGATAAAGGTGGGGTCATGTCCTTACAATTGGTAGTTAGCATGCTTCGGCCGGCTAAGTAGGAAAATTCTTCCACAAATCCAAGATCAAGAATCCGGCCTGCTGCTTTCGCCATTATTGTTCCTACTTCCCTCCCGAGTCTGTTCATGAACCGGTTTAAACTTAAAGCACTGCTCCAACCTGTTTCCATAATAGCCGTTAGGGTGCAAAATTACACTTTACTTCATTGGTGCAGGGACATATATATAAAGAGATAGAGATATCCTTCCTTCAACAGATAATGTAGTAAAAATAGGCAATAAAAATCAAGCCCAGGCCACCCTAATGAGTGCACTCTGGTTTGATTCATAGGATTTTAGGTTTTATCAGTTGTTTAGAATTTTGGGGTCGGGCTACCTCAGAGCTGTCAGCTGTGTAGCGTTTAATTTCTTGTATCTTTAGATTTTATCAAGAAAAACAACAATAATAATAATAATAATAATAATAATAATAATAATAGGAAGGAACATGTGACTTCTTTATATCCCACTTCCTTCTAAGGATTTATGGGTCCTCGGTCCCACACTTTTATTTATTTTTTCTGCCAACTCTACCCCACAAATATTTTGAAAACCCAATATAGTTACAACTTACAACATTTAAATCTTGGAAACAGCGCCCTTTTTCTCTGTATGTGCTAAACTGTTAATGTGTAGGGGGGAGGCCCAGCATTGGGGGAGCCTACACAGGATTTATCCACTCATAAAAGTACGTACCACTCATAAAATTACACACGGATGTCTCAAAACCAGCTGCTAACTGGAAACTGTTCCAAGGCTTTGTGTTTTCTTTCTTCATTAATATATTTCTTTAATAAATATGTTTGTGGCTCACGTCAAACCCATCCAACCCTTTTATCCATCTTTCAGTCAATCCACCACAGCAAAAAAACAAATAAATAATGCATGCTGCATTTATACTTCGCCCCTCAACTATGTCAAAGCTAACCGATCTCATCTTCCTTAATTACCTTCAACAACCCATTAAACATACCAGTTGCCGCCATAATAACGTCATACCATATCTCCCCCTTATCATACCTCCATGATTCATGAAAGAGGGTCAAGAGCAATACAAACGATAATATTTTAAGCCGAAACAACTAAATCAAAGCCTTTGATTTATTTTAATCATAACCCACTTTGAATTAGATGAAATGACTTTTTGCTGAGATTATTGCATTATATCTAAGATGATCACGATTTTCTGTTATAGCCTTGCATACAACATAGCATATATAAGCCTCCATGTCTAAGAGGAGGATTTCTCTCTTTCTTGAATTTTTTATTAATGATTTTGGATTTGGGTTGGTCAATGTTTTGGAATTCCATTCCATTTGCCCCTTCAATCATATTGCAGCAGGATCATTAGTCTCTCTCTCTCTCATATTGTGTTGTATTGCACCGAGTCTGAGAGTATGTTTCCATTGACGATTTCTCTACTTGATTTATTCTAATTCTAAATTTCTAATTGTTCTTTCAGAATTCAATTTTCTATTCTAATTGTTTAAGTACGTATCGGCGCAAATAGTCCAGGTTTGGCTTGCCCTCTGATTTTTGAACACCTGCTAATTAATGCTAATCGTTTAAGTTAATTTATGATTGTTATTGGGAGTTTAAACAGTGCTGGGCATGCATATATAAATGAGTCTTTTGCTAGCTTGCTGTTTCCCATTTGCTAATTTGTTTCTTTCTCCACAGTCACACATGAAAATATAAAAATTAAAGGATGAAGTAAAAGAGTTTAGCTAGCGTTAAATGAAATGATGAAATGGTTTGAAAAATGGATAATAATAAATAGCATGTTTTGGAGGGTGTTACCGTGTTAGCTTATTAGCTAGGGGAAAAACAAGGTCCAGCTAAGAATGGCGTTGGGTGACGTGAGAGCTTCATTTAATCCTTCCATCTGCCTTCATTCATTTCCCCTCGGCAGCCTTTAAATCCTCACCTCCCTCTCCAACCTATTAAAACCCCAAAACCTTTCTCTACTTCACCAATCCAATCTAACCCATCCATCCATCCATCTCTCAGCCTCTCTCTCTCTCTCTCTCTCTCGGTTACGTTCTATCCAGTCCAGTTGTAAGCTAGGATGCCACCAACAGCACTCCCGAATTTCTCCAACTCTGTCAAGCTCAAGTATGTCAAACTTGGTTATCAGTATCTTGTGAATCATATTCTCACTCTTCTCCTCATACCCATCATGGCAGCAATTGTATTAGAGATACTTCGATTAGGGCCGGATGAGATTCTCGGACTTTGGAATTCTCTCGAGCTTGATCTGGTGCAGATTCTTTGCTCTGGTTTCCTCATCATATTCGTGGCCACTGTCTTCTTCGTGTCCAGGCCTCGACATATCTACCTCGTCGACTACTCTTGCTTCAAACCCCCTGTTACATGCCGTGCCCCGTTCTCCACCTTCATGGAGCACTCTAGGCTTATCAATGGATCCAACACCAAGGTGGTCGACTTTGAAATGAGAATTCTCGAGAGGTCCGGCCTTGGTGAGGAGACTTGCTTACCCCCGGCCATCCATTATATTCCTCCCACCCCCACCATGGCCGACTGCAGAGCCGAGGCAGAGCTTGTTATCTTCTCGGCCATCGATTCACTCCTAAAGAAGACCGGAATCAAGCCCAAGGACATCGACATTCTAATCCTCAACTGTAGTATGTTCTCGCCGACACCCTCGTTGACGGCGATGATCGTGAACAAGTACAAGATGAGAGGCAACATAAGGAGCTTTAACCTCTCCGGGATGGGTTGCAGTGCCGGGCTTATATCCATTGATCTAGCTCGAGACCTGCTTCAAGTCCACCCCAACTCTTACGCACTGGTAGTGAGCACGGAGATCATAACCCCGAGTTATTACAGTGGTTCTCAGAGATCCATGCTACTGCCCAACTGTCTATTTCGAATGGGCAGTGCAGCTATCCTTCTATCCAATCGGAGAAAGGACAGTTGGCGCGCTAAGTACCGGTTGGCTCATGTGGTTCGTACCCACAAAGGTGCAGACGACAGGGCCTACCGCTGTGTTTATGAAGAAGAAGACCCACAAGGTATAAGGGGTGTGTCCTTGTCCAAAGAACTCATGGTGATCGCCGGCGAGGCTCTCAAATCCAACATAACTACCATTGGGCCGCTTGTCCTTCCAGCGTCGGAGCAGCTGTTATTCCTTTTCACCCTTGTCGGCAGAAAACTCTTCAATCCCAAGTGGAAACCTTACATTCCTGATTTCAAGCAGGCCTTTGAGCACTTCTGCATCCATGCGGGAGGGCGCGCCGTGATCGATGAGCTGCAGAAGAACCTCCAGCTTTCGGCGGAGCACGTTGAGGCATCGAGGATGACACTCCACCGCTTTGGGAACACTTCGTCGTCGTCCCTCTGGTACGAATTAAGCTACATTGAATCCAAAGGTAGGATGAAGAAGGGAGACCGCGTGTGGCAGATAGCATTCGGAAGTGGGTTCAAGTGTAACAGCGCGGTTTGGAAGTGCAACCGCACCATTAAGCCGGACCCGGAAAGTCCCTGGTTCGATTGCATCAACAGATACCCGGTGCACATCCCTGAAATCGTTAAATTATAGCCTGTTTTAATTCATTTCGTGCTCACTGCAGTCTCTGCTTCTGTCTTCTCATAAATTTACTCCTTTATTTCGCATTTACTTGTGTTATTAAACGTTCCCTTCCCATTCCCCCTCTTCTCTTCTCCCTCCTGCACTTATATATTTTCCAATAGATAAATAATTTCTTTGTATTAATTAATTTCTGAGATACTACTCAGACTCAGAATGAAAACATGCATATATATATATATATATATATAATCAGAAGTGTGCATTCTCCGGCGACAAGCCGATCGATGAAGCAACAGTTAATTAAGGAGAGGAGATATATGGCTGTGGTCTGTGTGACTCACCGGCCGAGTCTGTATTGCAGATGTATACAGGGCAAAACTTGCTTTTCAAACTCTAAAATCAGAAAGATTGATTGAAGTTGAACCTGTAAAAGGTTCCAGTTTGTTAGGGGTGCAATAAAGCCTATTTATTGTGAAAAATGTTGGACGCCCTTGGAGTCACAGTCTCTACTCTCTAATATAGCGGACCGGAAACGTTACATTTGAACGATTTTAAGTAGTTTGTCCAGCAGCTTAACTGATCATCTACCATTTGCCAGGCTTCATTGCTTGCCACATGTAATATTAACCGCTGAACAACCATGAACCATACGTGATACACCACTGACATGCCCTCTTTGAGTTGGTTAGCTTGGAAAGAAAAGTCCACTTGCCGGGCCACAATCCACGTGTGGGTGTGATAAAAGATTTGCCAATTTTGGAGCCGGGATCGGTTCCTCACGAATGGGCACCTCACAGGCACATCCCGTGCATTGGAAACATTTCCCACGTCAATAATAATTAATAAGTACAGGAGATATTCCCAATGCATGGTAGGATATGCGTGTGAGGCGCCAGGTGTAAGAAACAACAGTTTTGTTGATGGAACATCTTCTAATTAAGGTGAATTTGTTGAAGCTTTAATGCCCGTTTGGAAAAAGGTTTTGAAGCAGGCTTGAAGGTAGTAGTAGCATAGCGTCTTCTCGCCTTTAAATTATATTTGGTGAAGCCCAAATCGGGCTACCAGTCACTCATATTTTTGAATTCAGCCTCTTTCCAGCGTGAATGCGTGATAGTCAGAGCACCTCAAAAGGAGTTCAAGCGCTGACAAAAAAAAGTATTGCGCATGTGATAGCATCAATTCTCAATTCTGGATATTGGATGTATTGATATTTTAATTCTTTATTTTTAGTTTAATTAATGAATTATATTTGATATATATCCACCTTAAATTTGATGGATCATATTCATTTTAATTTGATTATCATTGAATCATATTTGGATTTAGGTAATACTAATTTGTAAAATGTAAATTATTATATAGGACAAAATTGTGAAAGGTAAATTTTTTAATTAAAATTCATTGGAAAAAAGATATATTTAAAATAAATAAAAATTTATGGATAATAATATATTTAATTTAATAAATAAAACAACAAATAAATAAATAATCATGATCATTAGGCAATGGAGTGAAAGAGGGAGAGATGACTTTTGTCATTGCATTTTTGTTTTATATAGTGGAATAAATTTAGTAAAATAAATAGACAATCAAGTGAGAGAGTAAATATATATAAATATATACACGATTCTATATCTTACTTTGCTAGCAATAATAATTTGTTAGATTCTTAAATTATTAACTAATTAAATAATTTATTAAAATAAGTAAATAAATAAAACTTTATGTATTGCCAACACAAGATTGGTAAAGGTTATCTCAAATTATTTAATTAAATAATTTAGCATTGGTAATGGGTTGGGCTGAACTATCAGGCTACTGAGCCCATGAACAGGCTTAGCTTGGTTTGTGGCCTAGCCTGGCCTAAGGCTTGGCCCGCGGGCTCGGGCTAAAATAAAATTTTAAGATCTTTTTTTTTTAATTTTTGTCTATTTTTGTAATTTATGTTAAAATTTTCATTATTTTTTTTAAATAGCTTAGCCTAGTTCATGGCCTAGCCTGGCCTAAGACTTGGCCCGTGAACCAACCCGGCCCACAACACAACACAAACCCGTGCAGGCTTGGGCTAAAATAAAATTTTAATATCTTTTTGAATTTTTTTCTATTTTTAAGTTTATGTTAAAATTTTCATTATTTTTTTTTTCAAAATTAAAAAAAAGCATGGCTTAGCCTGGTTCGTGGCCTGGCCTGGCCTAAGACATGGCCCGCAGACCTGCTTGGCCAGTGGCACAGCACGTGCTTGCACGGGCTCGAGCCATATATTATATACAATAATTATAATATATATAATTTTATTTTCAATTTTATTATATTATATTATTTTATTATTGCATATATAAACAATTGTACACATCAAAATTCATATAAAATAAAATTTTAAGATCATTTTTAATCTTTTTGTCTATTTATTTTAATTCATGTTAAAATTTTCATTATTCTTTTTTTAAATTTTTAAAAAACATGGCTTAGCCCAGTTCATGCCTGGCCTGGCCTAAGATTTGGCCTGTGGCACAGCACGGGCTCGAGCTGTATACTATATACAATAATTATATAATATATTATTTTATTTTGAATTTTATTATTGTATATATAAATAATTATATACATCAAAATTCATATAAAATAAAATTTTAAGATATTTTTAATTTTTATCTATTTTTTTAATTTAACTTTTTCATTAGTTTTTTCAAAATTCTTTAAAACACATGGATTAGCCTGGTTCGTGGCTCGGCCTGGCCTAAAAATTGGCCCGCGGACCAACACGTCCTGCGACACAACACACGCTTGTGTGGGCTCGGGCCAAGTGTTGTGCCGAAGTGACCCCTAAAGTATCTTAGGGGAGAGAAGCACGACCCGCACAACATGGCTCAATATGGCCTGATTGTAAATGAAATGAGAGATAAAGACAATTTTTAACAAATATGAAAAAGGGAAAAGTTTAGTGGCATCATTGTAAATAGTTAGTAGTGGCACCATTGTAAATAATTACATGTTTAATATCATATATGAAAGAGGAAATGGAGAAAGGACAAGTTATGATTTTTTTAGGGGTAATAGCATATAAGGGCAACTTTTGGGGTTTAATACCAACAGTAATATATTTTAAAAAAATTAAAAATAGGTTAACTTTTTAAAAATAATATCAATAAAGGGCAAAAGCATTATTCATTTTCTTCTTCTTCCCATTTGTTCAACAGAGTTGTCGTCCGTTGCTGTCCGCCACCGCCGTCCACTACCGCTTGCCGCCGCCTCTGCCCACCTCTGCCTCCACCTCCGGTAGCGTTGCTGGAGGTGGCGGCTCCACCTCCGCCAACCACGTTGTCGAAGATGGGTGGAGGTAGAGGTGGCGGTGGCGGAGGCGGCACTAGTGGTTTCTCTATCAAACGCCGCCACCTCCACCCACCTCCGCCTTCGCCTCCGACAACGTTGTTGAAGATGGGTGGAGACAGAGGTGGCGGCAGCGACGGGCAGAGGAATGACCACCAATGCCGCTACTGCCACCTTTGCCTCCGACCACCTCTAGCAATGTTGCTGGAGGCGAAGGAGGAGATGGGTGGAGGCGGCGGCGGGCGGCAGTGGACAGCGGTGGCTCTAGTGAACAAATGACAAGAAGAAGAAGATTAACAATGTTTTTGCCCTTTATTGATATTATTTTTAAAAAGTTAACCTGTTTTTGAAAAAAATTTAAATATATTACTTTTATTGATATTAAACCCCAAAAATTGCCCTTATATGCTAGAAACCCTTTTTTTTATTGAATGGCATCATTTATAGTTAATTAAATTTGTAATGATAATGGTTAAAAACACACAAAAAAAAATTATAAAATTATAAGATTTCATTTAAATAAATATAAAAAAGATTCCATTTAATAAATGCTCAATGCATATAACCTTTGGCTTTTAGAATCCAATGCGTTGTACACTCTCTCTGGTGGAAGTAGAATCCAAAATAAAGGTAAGATTTAAAGAGGAGTAGCCATTGAAAATGAATCTTCGGATATTTATTTTAGAATTTGGATTTGCTTTTCACATTCACCTTACACTTGCAGTCGTGTATTGGGAATATTTGATAGTTCTAACAAAGACTAGTAAATATAAATAGGGGAGGCCAAAAGTTACTAAACATGAATATGGGGACCAAAATATAGGTGAGGGTACACCTAGCAATTGGGTTGGGTGGGTCGGGTTCGGATTGGGTCAAGATGCTTTGGGTTGATTTCGGATTGGGTTATCAAATGCTAGACCCTAATCCTAAATGTTCGGGTTAGGGTGGACCCATGGGTCAATTTGGGTCATCCTCAAAAATAACTGAAGTTTAAAAAGAACAAAGAAAAACTACATGAAAATTTCCAAAATTAAAGGAATTAATCTTAAAATTCCAAATATAAAATAAAAAATCTTGATCATTTAACAATTTAAAGAGTAAACAATAAAGAGTAAAGACTAAATATAAAAAATTAGAGAGTGGAAACTTCTAACAACAATAAATAGTCCCAATTAGACTTAACAATTGGTCAGCGGGTTGACCCGTAACCCAACCCAACCCAGTTTTTTCCGGGTTGGGTCGAGTCGATCTAGGTGAGGGTTCGTGGGTTGGGTCGAGTCGATCTAGGTGAGGGTTCGTGGGTTGGGTCATCTTTTTGTCTGCTCTAGGTGAGGGTTTAACTAAGTATTGTGAGGATTTTCAAGGCATAGAGGGTGGCCAGGAGTCCTCTCACCTTATACCCATGAAGACCTTCCTCTCTTCTCATTCTCATTTATATCTATACTATAAAGTAGATATTTGCCTTGGCTTTAATGTGTATGTAGTAGGGATTGACTGGAAGGATCAGGGGACGTTTGATTGGATGTTGGCTGCTACTGTTTTTCTAATAAAATTTATTATATATATATATATATATTTATATATTTTATGGAAGGCTTTGTCTTGTTTTCTGGTGGTTGTGAGGAGCCTATGCTGCTCATATGGTTATGATGTACAGTTTTTGGGTTTGTTTTTTCACATGGGCTCCAAGCTTTGGGGGTCCAATCGCACTTTCTCCCCCTTTGCTGTCTTTATTTTTAATAAATTTTATTTTATTTATCAAAAAAAATTATAAAAGTTAAATTTGATTATATAATATCTATTTATATCTTTATTCTTTAATTGAAAATGTGCATAGCACGTGCCCTTATATTAGTTAAGTTATTAAAAATATAATCAATTATAATGAAAACTCTCTTAAATCTTAATTTTCTCGTATAAAATTGACAATTACTTTCTATTACTCTCTCTTGTAGGGGGTGGGAAAATGGATAGGTTATTCCCAAAACTGAATGGAACCAACCTCAAACTGGTCTTAAACCAACCTTACCCAATATATTACTAGGTGAGTCTGGTTCCAAATTCCAAGAATCACCCCCCCCCCCCTCTCACTTAGGCTAGTTTCAGGGTATAGGCATATACCCTACCTAAACCAACCTAAGAATCGGCTTTGAAATTGAACTTGCCTTGAAATAAATCCCAAAATACTTTAATTAAAAATATAAAGATTTAAACACAAGCACTCATGGTTACAAAGATCATGGTCTCAATTAGACCTATTCATGGGCCGGGCTTGGGCCGGGCTGGGCCGGGCTTTCACTTGTCACTAATGAAAATATACTAGGCCCGAGCCTGAGCTTGGCCCGACCAACGGGCCTATAACTTGGGTCCGAGCCCGGCCTTGGTAAAAAGCCCGAAACCCGAGCCCGAGCCCGAAGCCCGACCCAATTGAAAAAGAAACAATTTTCCCTATTCAAATTAGAATTAAAAATTCAGATAGTATTTTTTTTTCTATTTAAATGAACAATGGGCCTACAATATGGTATTTTTCTCTTTCTTTTATATTTTAAAACACAAATTTACATTCTTAAATCAAAAAAATTATTCAAATGGACATAATCACATAACTAATTTTAAGTTTAATATTAGGTCGGGCCGGGCTATTTTGAAAAAACCTAAGCCCGGCTCGAATTTATTGTGGGCCGGGCTTTTTGGCCTGAATTTAAGCCCGCAGGCCTATAAGCATGTTCAAGCTCGTCCGAGGGTCAGGCCGGACCGTCGGGCCACCCGGCCCATGAACAGGTCTAGTCTCAATTGACCATCGAGTCACTTAAGTGATTTGATCATTTTTCTTTAATTTAATATTTGAATGTCCATAATATGTAAAAGGTAGAAGCTAATTTTAAAAGCTGCTTCAAAAAACTAAAGAATATGTGTTTGACAAAAACCCAAGGAGTACTTTCAATAAATTCCTTATTTAGATAATTATTGCTTTTGATGGGAAATTTATGGTTTGCTCCCACAGTGGCAGAGCTAGGAATTTTATTTTGGGTCTATTACATATTTTTAAAGAAAAATT